CCCGCCCGGGGCGCGGGGCGCCCGCGGCGGGGCCCACGGGCGGGCCCCCTCGGCGGCGCCATGGCGGGCCCCCGGAGAGCAGAGAGGCGCGCGCGGCCGAGGCCGCGCGGAGGCGCCCGCGAGGCGCCCGCGGAGGGGTGCCCACGGGCGGGCGCCGGGCGGGCCCTCGGCGGGCGCCTACGAGGGCGCAGGGCGCCCGCGAGGGCGCCCGCGGGGCGGGTGCCGGGCGAGCTCTCGGCGGCCCAAGAGTTCGCCAGGAGCAACACAGGGATGGGTTGTGATATGACCATAATAAGAGGAGGGCGCTGTTTGGTATTTTTTCCATAGTGATACTTCTCCCAAAATATTGGGAGGTGGCTCCCCTTCCCTCGCCAGGCTGGGGGGAGGAGCGGGGAGAACAGAGAGTGCTGGGCATGTGGGAAGGAACCAGCGAGCCTCGATCCTCGAACCTCAGCGGATGTCTCCTGCCTCCGACCCTCGATCCTCGAACCTCGATTCTCGAACCTTGAACCTCGATCTCCGATCCTCGAGCCCCAGCTTCGAAATCTCGACGTCGACCCAGACAGGCGCCGCATTGTTTTTGTCAACACGGGGTCCCCGCAGGCCCCGACCCTCTCCCGAGGGCCGGGCTTTCATCCCGAGCCGTTGTTGGCGGTCCCGGGGCCCCGCGAGGGGGCCCGGTGGCCGAGACCGGCGAGCATGTCCTTGCCCTCCTCCTCCTCCTCCTCCTCCGCCGCCTCCTCCTCCTCCTCCTCCTCCTCCTCCTCCCCCCCTCCTCCTCCCCTCCTCCCTCCCCCCTCCTCCTCCTCCTCCTCTCCCCCTCCTCCTCCCCTCCTCCTCCTCCTCCTCCTCCTCCTCCTCCTCTTCCCTATAGCCTTGATCTTCGATCCTTGAACCTCGATCTCGATCCTTTCGGAGAGATCATAAACATAACACTAAAGCATGAATCACAAACATACACATGAACACAACACCTCCTCTCCTTGTGCATAAAGCTATCACAGAACGCATCATCATAACACATAACACACAAAACATGAGCACACAACCTAAACCTATACATACAGCTACTACACAACACCTCCTCTCCTAGTGCATAAACATAATTAAACTGTCTGAGGTCTGCGGGGATTTCCTGGATCTGCGCTGCACCCTTGTGGTGGCGCCGCTGGTGCCGCCCCCGACGCGCTCCGCGCGCCAGGAAAGAGGGGGGGTCCAGCGCCGATCCAAGAACTCCGCGTGGACCTCCGTAAGTTTATTTTTCCTGTGTCCTCGATCCTCGATCCTCGATCCTGGCGGTGCCTCGGTGGCCTGGCCCTCCTCGGGAGAGGCCCCCCTTTGCGGGGCGGGGGGCTTGCGCAGGCGGACAGCACGGTGCAGAGCCTCGCCATGTCGGAGAAGCCCGACGTCACCTACGCGGACGTCGGCGGGATGGACATCCAGAAGCAGGCTTCCCCTCGTCCCTTTTTCTTTGTCGTAATTCGTTAGATTCGAAGAAAACAACGCCATGAACATAAACTTTTGGCGCTCCGCGCGGATTTCTTGGATCCGCGCTGGACACCCCCGGCGGCGCGTCCTGCGCTGCCCCTGGCGCGCTCCGCGCACCAAGGAGGGGGTCCAGCGCAGATCCAAGAAATCCGCGGGGAATGCCAAAAGTTAATGTTTATGGCGTTTTTTTCTTCTTCTATAGATGCCCGTTTTGGGACCTTCCTGGGGGCCACCAAGCGGATCTGTTCGACTCAAGTTCGACTCCGTTCGACGGCGGGATGGACATCCAGAGGCAGGCCTCCCCCCCTTCCTTTTCCCTTTCGTTAGATGCCCGTTTTGGGATCTTCCTGGGGGCCACCAAACGGATCTGTTCGGCTTAAGTTCGACTCAGTTCGACAGCGGGAGGGAGATCCAGAAGCAGGCCTCCCCCTCTTTTCTTTTCCCGTTCGTTAGATGCCCGTTTTGGGACCTGCCTGGGAGCCACCCAACGGACCTGTTCGACTCAAGTTCGATTCAGTTCGATTCAAGCTTGACTCGAATTCGACTCAATTTCGACTCAATTTCGACTCAAGTTCGACTCAAGCTCGACTCAAACTCGACTCAAGTCGACGGGCTTTCGACGTAGCATCGACGTATGCGTGTAGCGCGTGGCTCCAAGAAGGTCCCCAGGACTTGCATCTTATTTTGCGCTCCCTCCCTGAGATCTGGGCGTTTTCCGCACCGGGCGTTTTTGCTTGATGTCGGGCTCCAGGACCCTCACCGATCGATCTGGCTCGAACCAGGGCTGGACCTGAACGGTGTTTTTGGGTGATTTCGTGGGCCGTTTTCGTTTCGACTTCGTTTTGTGGTAAAGGCGGATTCGAGACAAAAGCGAGGGAGAACGAAAGCAAAACGAAAACGAAAAACACCGTTTAGGTTCAGCCCTGGCTCCAACCATGCCGCAAAAAGGTCTGATTAGGGCTCCTGTGATTTTCTGAGCTGTTGTGTTTTCTCGTGGCGACGGATCTCCAGGGTCCCACTCCCTCCTCTCGTCCCTGCTCTCGTCCCTCTTCGTCTCCTTCCCTGCCCCCCTCTCCCTCCCCTTCGCCCCTCTCTGCTTTCCCCCCTCCTGCCTCCCTCCCTCCCTGCTCCCCCTGTTCTCCCTCCTTTCCCCCTTCCCCTCCCCTCCCTCCCTCCCTCCCGCCCCTTCTGTCTCCTCCTCTCCCCCTCCCCTCCTCTCCTCCTGCTCTCTCTGCCCTCACTCTTTGCTCCCTCCCTTCTTCCTCCTCCCCGCTCCTCCCTGCTTGCGGGGTGGTCTCCTCCTGGCCGCGCTGCAGTGACAGAAGGGTCCTCTTCCGATGGGCCCGCCTTGGCTCTTTGAACCGTCCGAGGCTCTCTCGCTCTCTCGCTCTCTCTCTCTCTCTCTCCCCTCAGTGGCGGGCGACCCCCCCCTCTCTCCTCGTCCTCGGCCCTTTGCTCCCTCCCTCCCTCGCTCCGCCCCCTTCTCTCCCCCCCCCCCCCCTCGCCCTCGGGGCTCGGCGGCCGAGCTCCCGGCCCCGCGCTCGTGGCGCGCCGGCTCCTCCCCCGCTCCCCCGCCTCCCCCCCGTGCCCGGTGCCCTCCACATCCTGCTGCCTTCCTCGGAAGGGCGGCACGCACGGCACGCCAGACGTCTGCCGGCCAGCAGGGGGCCACCACGGGCACTTCTTGTCCCCCGGTGGCCCCCGGGGATCACCACCCACCAACCCACCCCAACCCAACCCGAAGGCCCCGATTTGCCCTCCATTTCCAGTGTGGGGGGGTCTGGGAACATTGAAAAAACACACATGGAACCCGTACGCCCGAAATTCGTGTCTTCGGGTTGGGTTGGGGTGGTCTGGTAGGTCTTCAGGGGACCCACTGGAGCCCTGGGCCGCCTGGGGACCCCCAGAGGTCGACGCCGAGCGTGCCCAAGAGTTCGGGTCTCAAGACCTCCTGTCGCATGCGTCTGCTGCAGCTCCCCGCGACACACGGCGGACGGACGGGGGGAAGCAGCAGGGGGGGCAGCGAATCGGCCGCATGCGGCTGATGCTTCTGGGCGCCTCGGCGCCGCCGGCGCCGCTGTGGCGACGCAAGCGCCCGGCGGCGGGGCCGAAGCTGGCTGCGTGCAGCAGATTGTCAAGGCCTTGCGGCCAGTGCCGCCGACCCTGCGCGTAACAGGCAGCAATAGACATCGACAGTGGGATGTTCAGCAGGAGGAGGAGGAGGAGGAGGAGGAGGAGGAGGAGGAGGAGGAGGAGGAGGGGGAGGAGGAGGAGGAGGAGGAGGAGGAGGAGGAGGAGGAGGAGGAGGAGGAGGAGGAGGAGGAGGAGGGAGGAGGAGGAGGTGGAGGAGGAGGCGGCGGCGGCGGAGGAGGAGAAGGAAGTGGAGGAGGAGGGGCAGGAGCAGGAGGAGCACGGGGCGGGGGAGGCGGATGGGGAGGGGGTGAGAGGGGATGGGGGAGGGGGAGGGGGAGGAGAGGAGAGGATGGGGGATTGGAGAAGGCGGGGGGGAGGGGAATGGGGAGGGGGAGGGGACTAAGGGGAGTGCGGGAGGGGGAACGGGGGATGGGGGATGTAGGGTTTGGGGATGGGGGATGAGGAATGGGGGAGAGGGGGAGGGGGAGGGGGAGGAGGACGGACAAGCTAGATGCGCTCGCATCATATCTGACGTCGCACCCCTCCCCTCCCATCCCTTACCATGGCGTAGATCTCCTCTCTATATTTGCACAATCGGATATCGTGGCATGGCATAGCATTACAAGCCATATCATGGTGTTGAAGATTAACGCGTGGCATGACGTAGCATGGCGTGGCGACGCCCCAAAGTTGGGGAGGGCTTCCGCGGCCCAAAAAGACAACGAATCGACACCGAATGTGTAATATCTTCCGATGGTTTCTTCGGGAGTTAATTTTTTAGATTTAGGGGCCTACTTGGAAGGACCGAAAACAATGCCGTGGCATGGCATTGGAAATAATGACGCCAGCGTTGCAGCGGGAGCACGATTCGGAACGAGCGGAAGCGCGGAAATGAGGCCATCGTTGCAGCGGGAGCACGATTCGCAACGACCCGTAGCCCGACAATGAGGCCAGTGTTTCAGCGAGAGCAGCATTTTGAACTAAAACCCGAGCGCGGAAGCGCGGAAATGAGGACGCGTAGCCTGACATAGCATGACGTGGCGACGCCCCAAAGTGGGGGGCTTCTGCGGCCTCCAAATCAACGAATCGACACCGAATGTGTAATCACTTCCGATGGTTTCTTCGGGGAGCCATTTTCTAATTCGTGGGGCTTATTTGGAAGGACCGAAAGACATGCCGTGGCATGGCGCTGGAAATGGTGACGCCAGCGCTAAAGCGGGAGCACGATTCGGAACGAGCGGAAGCGCGGAAAGGAGGCCAGCGCTGCAGCTGGAGCACGATTCGGAACGAGCGGTAGCCCGACAATGAGGCCAGTGTTTCAGCGAGAGCAGAATTTTGAAGCACACCCAAGCAAAAGAGTAATTCCCGGGAGTCCTGTGTGTTAAAAACCAGTGCGCGGAGGGGGGCGGAACAATCCCGAGACGCCTGTGGGGGAGAGAGGAGAGCAGTGTTCGTATTGTTTAACTGTGGAGGGGGGGGTTGGGGGGAGGGGGAGGGGCAGGGGAGGCGGAGGGGCAGGGGCAGGCAGAGGCGCTGGGGAATGGGAGGGGGGAGGAGGAGGAGGAGGAGGAGGAGGAGGAGGAGGAGGAGGAGAGGAGGAGGAGGAGAGGAGGAGGAGGAGGAGGAGAGGAGGAGGAGGAGGAGGAGGAGGAGGAGGAGGAGGAGGAGAGGAGAGGAGGGAGGAGGAGGGAGAGGGGGAGGGGGAGGGGGGAGGGGGGAGGAGGGGATGGGGGATGGGAGAAGGCGGGGGGGAGGGGGATGGGGGGGGGAGGGGACTAAGGGGAGTGCGGGAGGGGGAACGGGGGATTGGGGATGTAGGGTTTGGGGATGGGGGAAGGGGAATGGGGGATGGGGGAGTGGGGGAGGGGGGAGGGGGAGCGGGAAGGGACAAGCTAGGTGCGCAAGCGTCTTATCTGACGTCCTACCCCTCCTCTCATCTCGCACCATGGCGTAGATTTCCTCACTACTCGCGCAGTCGGATGTCGCAGCATGGCATAGCATCACATGTCATAACATAGCGTTGAAGATCATTGCGCAGCATGACGTAGCATGGCGTGGCACTGCGCTGTCAAGCACTGCATATCAGAGCATTGCAGCTGAAGGGATGGCATCGCACAGCGGAACACACCATATCACTGCATTGCATGCCATGGCATGGCACTGGCAATGAGGCCAGCGCTGCAGCGGGAGCACGACTCGGAACGAGTGGAAGCGTGGAAATGAGGTCAACGCTGCAGCGGGAGCACGATTCGGAACGAGCGGAAGCGCGGAAATGAGGTCAGCGCTGCAGCGGGCGCACGATTCGGAACGATGGGACGCCCGAAAATGAGGCCAGCGTTGCAGGGGGAGCAACACTTTGAAGAACCGAAGATAATCGGATGGTCAAAACACACATATGAAATCCAAGCTCCAGGCAATCCTGTGAGTAAAAAACAGTACGCGGAGGGGTGCCGGCCATCTTCCGCACAGATTCAGGGGAGAGAAGAGAGTAGTATTCATATTGTGTAATTGTAAAGGGGGAAGGGAGAAGGGGTATGGAGGAGGGGGAGGCAGAGGCGGATGAGGCGCAGGCGGAGGCGGAGGCGGAGGGGGATGAGGACGGGGAGGGGGAGGGGGAGGGGGAGGGGAAGGGGAAGTGGGAGAGGGAGGGCGAGGTGGAGGGGGCGGCGGAGGGGGATGGGGAGGGGGAGGGGGAAGAGGGGGGGGAGACGGAGGAGGAGGAGGAGGAGGAGGAGGAGGAGGAGGAGGAGGAGGACGAGGAGGAGGAGGAGGACGAGGAGGAGGAGGAGCAGCAGGAGGAGAAAGACCAGTGTACTCCCAAGACGCGTCACAGATGTTGCAATATAACCCTCCCTCCAAGTTCCCCATCCAGATGCCCCTACCATGATCTTTTTCTGCGGGATGTGCCCCGTTCAAAGACAATCATCTGATAATCCCCAACCGTGCCAAATCACCGTTCCTGGGACTGCAACTCAAGGAATCAACGTGACTGTTGCGTCCAGGCGATCCTCAATCTTTCCAGAATACCTTTCTGGGTCTTCATCGTGCGAATCTTTGAACCTGCTGCAAACATTGAAGACGAATGTGCGCGGCGTTGAGGCGAACGCCTCATTTTGGAAGCCATTCGCCCTCCGTCCCTGAAGTCGCTGCATACATTTAAGACGACTGTGCGCGGCGCTAAGGCCTGAGGAAAACCACCCGCCTTCCTTTATTGAATCTGTTGCGGACTTAGACGAATGTGCGCGGCGCTGAGGCGATGACCACACTTTGAACCACACTTTGAACGCCACCCGCCCTCCACTCCTTGCAGGCAGTCGCGAACTTTTCAGGCGCATGTGCACGGCGCTCAGTCGGGAGCAACATTCTGAAAGCCACCCGCCCTTCATTCAGGACACGTACGTTCAGCAGTGATACTGCTGGTCCTCCCCTCCACCTCCTCCTCATTTTCCTCCCATGCAGTATTTCGCATTGTTTCACACGCGTGCACCTCAGCAGGCGCCTCGGTGCGCCCTCCGCCGCGCCTTCATGGCGCCACGCGTGCGGAGCCGTAGCCGTAGCCGTAGCCGTAGCCGCCCTCCATTCTGTGAAGCTGTTGCACATGTCAGGCTTCGGGGCCATACGTGGTGAGGAGGTCTCGGGCGAAGCGCCCAGCCGTTCTGACCAACACGTCTGGGGGCGCGGCCGAGAGGAGTTATTCAGACGAAAATGGGATGGGCGAGGAGGAAGAGGAGGAGGAGGAGGAGGAGGAGGAGGAGGAGGAGGAGGAGGAGGAGGAGCAGGAGCAGGAGGAGGGAGGAGGAGGAGGAGGAGGAGGGAGGAGGCGGAGGAGGAGGAGCAGGAGGAGGAGGAGGAGGAGGAGGAGGAGGAGGAGGAGGAGGAGGAGGAGGAGGAGGAGGAGGAGGAGGAGGAGAGGGAGATTTTGCATGCTCCCCGCGACCCGCACGCCCCGTGCCGCGGGGGGAGGCCGCCGTCCCCCCCCCAAGAGGAGATCAAGGAGGCCGTGGAGCTGCCGCTGACCAACGTCGAGCTCTACGCGCAGATCGGCATCGACGCGCCGAGCG